CACAATCAAACTCTGCATACATACCGTTTCAAGCGTTCTGGACTTATAAGAAATGACAACAAGAACGCCACTGCTGTCGGTTTGCTGCTGTATCCTTCAATGTCTCTAACCAACCGGTTGCGGAGTCTTTGGTACTCCAACCTGGAAGGTGAGAGACACCTAGTCTACCTAATGGCTCGGTGTCGATTTACTTCCGGGTGGCAGACTGTCTGATTTAGAGTATGCAGACGACATTGTGCTACTAAGTGATGATCCAGGTAAGTTGCATGCTTTCTGGATAGTTTGACTGCTAGTGTTGCCATGTTCGGTATGCGTTTTGCACCTTCAAAATGTAAAATGCTACTACAAGACGGATGCATCACAGAAGAAGTGTCGGTGCGCACACAAAAGGCTCGATTGGCATTTGCCAACTTGAGACATTCGTGGCGCCGTCGCGACATCCGGCTGTCTGTGAAGGGTCGAGTGTATGCTGCAGCAGTTCGGCCAGTCCTGCTTTACGGTGCTGAAACTTAGCCACTAAGGGAACAGGATAAAAGTAGATTGTCGGTGTTCGAACACCGCTGTCTACGTAGCATTGCACGTGCCTGGTGGGGTAACCGGACTAGCAATGCTGAAGTTAGGCGTAGAGTTGTAGGCAGTCGCGGTCGTNGAAAAAACGAAGGGCGGTCACGCTAAGACCTGGCATGAGGGTATGAAAACCCTAACCAGGAGACTAGGTCACATAGACCCCGTTAGGCTCCCTGGCTGGGGACCTCGGGGTGATGGTCACCGATGGTTAGCTACACTGAGTAATATGGTTGGGTGTCCGCAAACAGTAGCGCTCGTGCATCCACTCGTTATTTTCCTAGCACCACTCTATATGAATTCCCCATCTTCCTCTTGAATTTGCTTCGATATTCTAATCTTCATTTCTCTCTTTTATCCAAATGGGCAACCAAAACCGGCGCACGAAAGTGCATGGTTAATGATTGTAACAACTGACTGAATGGCTCTGTGCAATTCTTCATGCCTCGTCTCCATATCATCTGTTAACCTCCATGCGGTTTCCTCCAGCCCGGATTGGATACAGCGAATAAAGCGCGGTGCGGCAGACGATGGCTGGGCATACGCAATACGTGCCCTAGCCAGCGAAGCCTAGTAATCTGAATTCGGTGTGCTAACAAGTTCATCCCTGATAAACTCCCAAACACACGACGGCTTACCTCTACGTTACTAACCCGTTCGCTCCATTCCACGTGAGCTAAACTGCGTAAACACCGATAGTCGAAAACTTCTAGTCGACGGATAGATACTCGCAATTTCAAGGTCTCACAATCATAAGGCAGAACTGAACGCCAGCGCAGTACACACAACCTTTCAGCTTTAGTGAAACGCCGAAGGTGTTTGAGTTCTGCATATGCTTCTCGAGCCTTGGAAATGCGGACGGTTATCTCCTTTACTGGTCCTTTATTGGTCACGCTACTACCTAAGTAGGAAAAGCAATCCTGATCATTGAGTTTCAGAGCGGGAGTAGGCGAAACCCCGTCCTGCAGCATCATTTGGCACTTAAAGGTGCAAAGTGCATACCGAATGTGGCAACTGCACTTGTTAGCCCATCAAGTGTGCTTTGCGCGTCTTCTATACATTCGAACAGACAGACGAAATCATCGGCGTATTCTAAATCGCACAGCTTTTACCCACATGCCCATTCAATACCTACGTTTTGGAGACCACTTAGTGCGTTCTCCGGCATTTCGTCTACGACGAAATTGAACAGGAACGGCGAGAGGGCACCTTTGACGAAGGCCGCTACTGGTGACGAACGGCCTACTTAGTTCATGATAGACCATTACACGAC